TATCCCCCTGTGTGCCAAATTAATATAAGATATGTACATTTATAGTCGACGGAATTGATGAGGAGAAATAATAATATGGATATTGAATTTTATTCAACTTTAAACAAATTTCTGTCTCTCCCTCTCTCTCTCTCTCTCTCTCTCTCTCGTTTCCTCCGTTTTTTTAATTACGGACGATGCGTTTTTCAGAGAGTCTATAACGGGAAACCCTGTGTGTCGATACGCTATGCACTTCGAAAAACGATATCTTCCTCGTCGGTCATTGCGGCGCGGCGCGGCGCGGCGCGGTGCGACGCGGGATTCGTTTCAGTTTGCGTTTAGTACGAAACGGAATGCGCGCGGCAGTCGATATATGCCCACATCGACATCGACGATTGTACGAGTGGCGAGTAATGCGTCAATATTGACAGGACGCGTAGACAGATCACGTTGCGCCGCGCGTTTCGACGATTCCGTCGCACGCGCGGCGCGGCGTGGCGGGGCCGCGTTCGGCGTATAACAAACGGAATCTACGAACGCGGCAGCGGCGGCGGAGCACCCGGTGCAGGAACCCGCCGCGCGCATTGGTTTATGCCACCGGATTCTAATTCGTGATTCTAATTCGTGGGTATCGGGGATAGCGGCGGTAGGCCGGCCGGTAGGTAGATAGGTCGATCCGGTGTGGTATAGTCGCTCGCCCGTGTGGCAACGGGCACACGGGAATTCACGATGGCTCAAATGAAAGCACCCTTTCGCCTCTCCTCCCCCTTTCGGCCCCCTCCTCATCCCCCCGTACACCCGGATCAATAGGGCACGGACCGACGAAACTTCTCCACTACCACTTTACCCTCGCCAGCCGGGTCCAAATACGTACACGGCGCGCCGACCCGGGTCCTCCTCTCTCGTACCCATTTCCGGACCTCGTTCGAATCTCCCCGCTCGCCATAAATATACAGCGCAACCGAGCTACCAATTAGCCATCGGGACACCCGTCGGCACTGCGTCGTCCCCGGTAAGTTCATTCGCACCGGCCGACGCGGCGCGCGGCGCCAGGCGAGTCGGGGAGTCAAACCGAAAATTGCCAGGAACTCCGGCCGGCTGCACGAGATCGCCGGGTCTTCTTTTTTTTTCGGTCACCGTCGGTGCCAATGAAAGAGCATGTCCCCGGTGAGAGAATTCGCAACGGTGATCCGCAAGCTACGATTAAGCGCGACGATTCAACCCTCGTGTTTTCGCGGATGTAAAAGTAAAATTTCACCCTGCAGATAAACGAGAAGCGATTTGGATCTTCTTTCGCTCCTTCACAAGCGATGTGACATTTTCGGGATTTGCGTAATAATTTCATAAGATTTCGATGTGTGTCAGTCAACGTTCCACCGCGACTATCGATTGCGTCCGCTCGAGAAGATTACTCAGTGGCCACACTGTTAATTCTGTATATCGGACAAGTTGAGCAGATTAACAACCCGCTTGTAATAATAATGATAAATGAAGGACCCAAGGCTTAATCGTTGATTGGTTTTACCGAGGAATTTGCACGTTCGATTAGATACATATTCCGCATTCACAATCAGTATAATTAAGTTCGACGTAGAACAAACGGAAGCGAAGTTTTTTTCGTTAAAAATCGAAAAAACGAAAGGGAGAGAGAGAGAGAGAGAGAGAGAGAGAGAGAGAGATTAGATTAGATTAGTTTTGCTATTTATTACGCGCTCTGAGATCGTATCCCCTCAAACGCTAAAATTAACACAATCGATACAATAGCCTTTAACCATTTGCCATCTAAGAGTTAATGCAAAGCTCCATGTACATCGAATGTAAATTGTGAATATTTAAAAGTTAAAATCGAGGTTCGGGAATAGTGAAGAGAACATATCATATAATATAATGGACGCCAAAAGTTTGTGCTTAATAAGTGGGCGTACAATTTCAGTTTAAACACGGAGTAGAAAGTGGCGTTCCGAATGGATATAATATTATTCCAAATTTCTACAGCGCTACCATCTTACAATTAGTGATCTCTTGGAAAAATTATCCGAGAGAGATGATGATGCTGATAATGAATCGTCATTTATTTGGCACTCCGGGATTTGGGACTCCCCTTAAATACTGAAATACTGAAAAAAAAATCTGGCAGTCAATAATCAAGCCTAGATGATGGTTACTGAAGTTTGGTGAAATAGGTTCAAACAAATGTTCGGTTAATATAATCAAAATTAATCAAATGCTAACTTTACTTTTGTAAATATTAATATTTAATATTTATTATCAAATGGCTGATTACTATTATTATGTTTCATAATATTGACTATAAATATTGCAATAACTCAATACGCTAAACAAAATATATTTGGTAGCTACTACTACACGGAGAGAATTTTTTTTTAAATTTACCCTGCAAATCATGTTAATTATGGGACAATATAGTATTTAGGCAAATTTTACTGTGCACTAATAAGATTTCGCAGTAAAATTTATTGTAATGCACAGTAAAATTTACCTAAATACTATATTGTCTCACAATTAACATGATTTTCAGGATAAATTTTAAAAGGAAATTCTCTCCGTGTAGACTTTTTTTTTGAGTGTATAGGAAATACAGAAATGCATAACGTTTATATTAGTGATCTCAAAATTAATGAAAGTATTGAAGCAGTAGAGAGAGAGAGGGGGGGTGGGGAGAGGAAAAGAAGTGAATCTTATTGTCGCCGCCGCAACATCCGACGGGTCGGAGGAGGTCCCGAATAAGTTCATTCACGGGAGTCGTCTCGAGAATCGGGAAAGAGAGCAGGTAGCTTCTGCCTGTGCTGTGCGAACTATTTTCGATTCCGACGGGGTTGATAAAGTGGTGGAGGGACTCGGCGGATGCAATAAAGCCGCCTTTCCGCGGAGTCACGTTTCGACGTAGTGATGGGGAACCCGAGGAATCTCTATAGCACCGGTGTGACCGAGGTAATTTATTTTCCGCCTTGTGATATTACATAACGACAATACTTTGTCGCGCCCCGGTTAAATGATGAATCGTCCGAGACGGTGCACCACCGAATCAGGGCGCGATTCTTGATCGTGTCGCGACCCGACAATGCGGCCCAATTTTCACGCTCCCTCGTCGCATGTTTATAGCTCGAGCGTGGCGGGAACCCACTTGTTTTACTTGAGCAAGAAGCGCGACGAGAATGCATTGGGAAAAAATTAATAATTAAGTTTTAATTACGGGAAGACGGGGGAGGGAGGATATGTATTACGTAAAGCGCCAACTTCGATCGGGGGGGTGGGGGGGAGACGGGGGGTTGGCGTAATTTCGCATGCTAAGCCGCATAATATGTACGCTCGTGTACTTACGGCGCTATTATGCCGATACGTAGGTTTCGAGAACAATATTAGCAACGTTTACGCGGACGGTTTGTCACGATTAAGCGTTTCAGCGCTTACGGCGAAATTGGTACTTCGATAATATATCACGGAAGCATAAAACCCCCCCGACGCTATCGTCATAAACACGCCGACGGGCGTAATAATAAGTTAACGCAGATTTAGCGCCGGTAAAAAAATAAACTGCAGCTCGCATTTATCGTGGCGCTAAATTGCCCCGGCGAAAGTAAAAGGGAGGGCGGGGCTACCTCTAATAAGCGACTTATCACTTTTCACTTATTTCTACTAATACCCAATTCACTTGTCGGCTTACCGTTGTATGCCACATTACCCTTCTCTCTGACAATTAAGTAGGGCGTTATTTATTACTCGGCGCACGGCTTCCGCATCACGCAAGGCATTAATTGATATATTTTTCTATCCCGCGGAAATATAATTATGAAGATATATAATTAATCCAATAATTAATCCAATATTATTATTCTTTAAAATCGTAAATTAACAACGGTTTCCCTGTTTGTTTTTGAATATAAAGATAGATTGTTAGGTAGACGGTAATTAAACATTAATTAATTAAACGATGGACGATTCATTAATTAAACAATCGGCAACGGTGAGACTGGTTGTTATCGCGACGAAAAATTCCTTACTTTTTCCGCTCCTTGCAGACGCTCATTCGCGTCGCGATAAATTAATTGCTCCGCGCGATCGGACGCAATTAACGTTTTCACCGGCATTAAACACGACGGATGAGTCGGTCGGGTTAACTGAGAGCGGGAGCCGCACTCTGACGCGCAGCGCGCGCATTAAATGTCTCGGTATAATTTCTGCGATAATTTCTCATCCCCCCGCGGCTACGCGGAGTCGGCCGACGCGACGTGGCGACGCGATATCGCGACAGCGCGACGCGGGGTGTTTCAAAAAGTGACGCGCGGATGCTAATTATTTCGAATCTCGGCTCACCCGCGAGAGAGCTGTTGCTCCTGCAGCGACTGGGACAACGGAGAGCCCTCACCTGCCTGTCCTGCTTTCGCGCGCCTCGAGCGCGCCCGCGCGCGATAAGGCAACCTGAAACAAATTACGCGGGCATTAAAATTATTACACGACCATTTTTTAGCGGCTCGCACATCCGCGTGAAGGCGTATTCGCCGGCGACGTCACCGGAGATTGAATAGCCGCGCGCTAGGTGCGCTTCTCCGGAATGTGTGAAACGCGTCGCGCGCGAAGAAGGTGATATTTAACCTCATGGCGAAAATTCGCGAACAAATGTATTTTTTTTATTTTTTATTTTTTTTAGCGCGAAAACATCCGGTCGATTTATTTGTCCCTCCCAGTAGTAACAATATGGAAAAAGATATCAATTTACGCGCGTCACTTCAATTGCGATATCGCGGATTTAGATGCGGTTCGCATGCACGCGGATGCGCGGAATTAAAAATGCCCGATCTCGAAAACAATTCTATGAGCACGAGAGGAGGGGGGAGGAGGGAGGGAGGGGGAGGGTTCAATAAACGATGCGTGCACTGGTAAACGATCGCCCGTATGTATATAAAGAGATATTGTTAACATAGATCGAATGATTTCGGAAATATACATTCTACGTCGGGCGTAAAATACATTCGCGCGTGCGTCAACAACACGTTTACGAATATCCGCGAAATTTTATACCGCCCTCCTCCATATATACACGCGGAAACTTGAAATTTCCAAGAGTTTGAAAATTTATATCCATGATTGCCGGTTAAATATTACGTTTTAATTTTTCTCTGTGCTCGTCCGGAAGAGTGGCCAGGGAAGAGAAGGGAAGGGGAAGGGGTGGGTTACGTATTTATTCGTGTTCGACGCAATCACAACTATCGATTTCCGGCCGTCGAGCGCGGCAGCGTTCTACAGCAACTTTTAAATATTATTTTTACGCGGGCATGTCATATTGCGTTATTCTTCAGAATCAGTTTTTTTCATAAACTGATGGATCTCTGTAGTGTATATTTAACGTTCTACTTTAAACATTTCGATGAGAAAGCGAGAGAGAGAGAGAGAGAGAGAGAGAGAAATAGACGGAGAAAGGGACAGGAAGAGAGAGAACCGCGAAGCTTCATCGGAATTTCCCGAAGGGATAAAACAATCTGTTCCTCGCGCATGGAATAAACATATACGCGATATTTAAATGAGCTTCGCCCACTCGAAGTCGCGCGCGAATTTCCGCGTGTAACGATGCACGTGTTGCGTTTACATAAACGCGCACGTAATGCTTTTCTCTTTCGGCCGCGATGTACTTTTTCAGGATTAGCTTTTATCTTTTATTTTCGGAATTCCGCCACTACTCTGTACCCTTTCCATCTCCCTCCTCCCCCATCTCCCCGCTCCGCTCCCGAAGTTCAGGATCGGAGGATTTACGCACAATATATACGATTGTTTGCAGTACCAGAAGGAAAACCGACCATCACGGCGGCCCACAATACCTCAGCGACGTCTATTTATCTGGCGTGGAAGCCGCCGAGTCGCGACACCATACACGGCGAGTTCCTCGGGTATCGCATCGGGTACCGGCGACGCGAGAAAGCGGATGAAGAAATGAAAAACGTTTACATTCGTGATCCTGCTGTCGACGTAAGTTGCCCTGAGACACTTCATCTTAGCGTACCATTTGTTAGCACAGCGGAGAAAAGAGGGATAAAAAAAGAAAAGAAAAGAAAAACGAACGCGTGTTCTTCTTTCTCTTTCAGAATCACAGTATTCACAATTTGGATACCTTCACGCAGTACCTCGTCTCCCTGCAGGTATTCAACCCCGAGGGTCACGGACCCGCCTCGACCGTGACGGTGATGACCGACGAAGGTGGTAAGTAAGGTGGCGCAGCGAGGGGACGGGCAAAATAAGAGAGCCGTCATTGTGTGCGCGTGGCGTCTTTCCGGGGCGGGAATTTCTGCCCAGAAATTGACGCGATAAAACGCTCGAGCGCGAAATTAAATCCGGGGAAATTTCTCCGAGTGACAATATAGCAGATACAGAATACCGTATATACCCGAGCACGGTAAAGCAGAACGCCGGGGTATCGTTCGGTTAACAAGGTATTCAAACGGAAAGCTGGTTTAGCTGCAGCTGCAAGGCGAGAGTTCTGCGTAGTTACACGAAGAGCGGATGTTTGCTTGTGCACAATATCGTTTGTATTAACATTTGTGTTAATTATTAAGCAGCGTGACTCGCGTTGCCCTCGACGAGTGGGAGAGACTTAGACTTCGGGGGACTCCCTCCCCGCTCTTATCGCGTCGCGACAATTCGCGCCGGATTACACGAACTCGGTATCTATCAAAATATTTAGCGTTTGTAATTGAGCGTCGTCAAGACGAAGCCGCTTCGTCGCTTCGAAAACGATTTCTCTCCGAGGGAAAAAGACGTTCGTTCAAGGTCCCGCCCCCCTCTCCCGGCGGAAACGAAGTTTCGTCCTCGTTTCTAACGCATTTAGAACGCATTTATGGTATAGCACTACATATATAAATCCGCTGCGCCGGTGATTCATCGTTTTCATCGTTACATCCTGAATCATCGTCGTCGCGGCTCCGCGCGCACATCCACCGCCGACAGCTTTTCAGCTGCCCGCCGCCGCTCGTGCGCACTCTCGTCCTCCGTGTGCGATAGAAATTCTTCGCGGACGTCGGGAGTGCTGCATTCCCGAAGGGAGTATTTCCGGCAAACTAGGCTAGCAGAGAGGATGCGCGATAATACTTCGTACCTCGCGAAATACACTTGGGAGCAGCTCTCGTCCAGCGGAAACGTTTCTCAACATTCAATACAGATTTTAGTATTTTAAGAGAGTCTAATTCTAGTAAATTTATAAGTTTCCGACGGAAACTTTATTTTATAAGCTCGCTAATGAGAACGTGGGAGAAGAAGATAGATAGAACGAGAGAGAGAGAGAGAGAGAGAGAGAGGGAAAGGAAAGCGGGAGATGAAGCGAGAGGACAGAGGCAGCTGATTCAAAGATCCGAGCGGGAGAGAGAGGCCCTCGCCTCGTGCGAGGAAGACGCAGAAACGGTCACGGGAGGAAGGGGAAGAAGTGGGGGTCGTGACAGCCGGCGACCGTGCGACAGAGGAAGCCGACTGCAGAGAGAGACCGGCGGAGAGACGAGGAGAGAGAGAGAGAGAGAGAGAGAGAGAGAGATTGGAAGAGCGAGAGAATGAGAGAGTGAAAGAGGGGGAGAAAGAGAGAAAGCGGGAGCAGCTGCCACGGCGTTTCGGTCGGCGCCGCGCCTGGTCTCGACGATCGATTTTCCCCGATTTTTCAGCACGCGGCAGCCGAGTGAGAGAAAGAGAGCGAGAGAACGGAGAGGGAGAGGGAGAGGAGAGAGAGAGAGGTGCCCGCTCGAGTCGGCCGCGGCGAGCACGCTGCATCGGCACGCCAGCAGCCGGGTCTGCTCGTGGTCGTCGTCGTCGTCGTCGCGCCGCGAGTCTGTCATCCGGGATACGACGACGAAAACGGAGTTCTCCGCGTCAGGCGCGCACGTGTGCGCGTCTCGGTTCTCGCCAGTCGCGTGTAACGTCAAACGCGCGTGTACGGAGCGTGCGAGTGCGTGCAGCGGAGAGTGCGTGTATTCTCGATATTCCCGATATAATATATATATATTTCGAACGACGTGCGAAATCCACTCTTCGCTCTCGTACATACGGTGGCCCCCGGTGCCGCCGGATACGAGGGACCCTCGGCAACGAGATGCACGAGCTGCGGCGACGAGCGTAGAGCACATGTGCGCGCGCGCGCGCGCCCGCCCGTCCGTCCGCCCGCTTGCTCGCTCGTATACGCGTGAGTGCGTGAACGTGCGTAATTCGAAGAGTGAGCGCAAACTCGATGCAGCGCGAGTGCGCGTGTAGTCGTTGGCGTGCACGCGTCGCGCTCACGCGCGCGGTTGACAGTACGCGCGTCGTCCCGCGGTGTGAGTGCTCTCTGCTCCTCTGTGTGGAATTAATATCGGCATCGTAAGTCGCGTGCGTTTCTCCTTTGCGCGTTTCGAGATTTTGCGGTTTGGTTTTTTTTTTGTGCGGCACGCGAAATCGCGGAATCGGCCGAAAGTGCGAAAAGTCGCGACCGAGAGAAAGGCCGTACCGCGGTAGGAAAAGAGAAAGAGAGAGAGAGAAAGAGGGAGGCAGATAGACAGATAGATAGAACGTGAGAGAGAAAAGGAAAGAGAGAAAGAGGGAGAGAGAGAGAGAGAGAGAGCGCGCGAGCTCGCCGAGATGGCGGCGGACCGTCGATTCCGACGACGCCTCCTCCGGGATCGCTGGTTGACGCCTAGTCCGTGAAATCGCGAGGATATATCGCGGACGGGTCTCTCCTCCGCTTCGCCTGGGTGTGATCCTTTGTTCGGGCCGCGGCGGCGAGTCGCCGGGTGTCGCTCTTCGATCGGAGGGGTCCCGCTGCTCCGAATCGGATTTCGGAGTGGGCAGAGACGACGGGGTCGAGGGGTCGATACGCGACGCGAGCGTGAGCGAGAGATGTGCATGTCGAGCAGTGCCAAAATGAAACTGGTGCGGCGAATCCGTAATATTCTCCATACTCCGCGCGACGAGATTATAACGCTGTAAGCTTTGCGCGCACGTCTTCACAGCTCTCGGTGGAGATTTTTTTTCTCTTTCTCTCTTTCCGTTTCTTTCGTTCGAAATCGACCGTCTCGTTTCTCCCAGTGCATCGGACAGGTGCAGGAAGTACGAAAGCCGAACTTGCTCTCGGGTGTCGTTCGGAAAGAAAAAAGAATCTTTGAGACTCCTTCGTGCCCTCGTACTTTGTGAATGACGCCTCGGGGCGAGTGCCTTTGAGTGAGAAAGAGAGAGAAACGGGAGAGAAGGAAGAAGTTGATTAATCGATGGAGAGGAACGCGTGGAGAGCAACGTATTCCCTATTCACCGTGCAGAAAAATAACACTTGCTACATTCTCTTTTTCTCTCTTTTTTTTTCTTTCAACTTTGCTTTCCAGTGCGTTGACTCGAGCGCGAATCATCGTTGTGAAGCACGGTTTTGCGAGTGATTTTGATTATCGAGGAGCGCTAATCGATTTCAATGAGACAGGTGCCATTAAAGTGAAAATGGGGGACTTAAGCCCCCCCCCCCCAGTAGCTTTTCTTTCGTCGCGCAGCTTTCAACTCCTTTTATATTCGACGCGAGAAGTTTCTATACTGCAACTCATTTCGATCATACAGCGAACGTTAATAGATTTTAATGACACTTCGCTCATTTTTTTTCTTTGTATTCAGTCGAAGAAAAAAAAGCAAGTAATACAACATTATTATATGAGTCACTTTGATTAACGAGAAATATCGATAAACTACAATGACACATCTGTCTTCGATCGACGATTAACTTATTCCGTTCATACTTGACACAAAAAATTCAACCATCCGGATGTGCTGTTGACGGACAGAATTTCCAGTTGCCACGAGAAATATTGTTAAAATTTTACCGGACAGTAAACGCCGTTGAATAATAAAAGCGTCGCTATGTTTTAGAGTCTAAAAAAAATAAAAAATTGCAAGTGTTGTTGAATAATAAAAGAAAACGAACGCGTCGTCTGCCTAACTTCCGGTTCGATTCGACACGAGAGGGAAAATAGAGAGGAATCGAACGATTTCGCCGCGCCGCGCCGCGACGACGCGCGGTAGCGCGACGGTAACGACGACGACGGAGCGACGTTGAAGGACTCGGTCGTCGTTGCGAGTTCGATCGGTGAACCTCGGTGCACATCCGCCGCCGCCGCCGCGTGCGGCCGCGTATACCTATCGCGGAAACGCGCGGAGGGCAATAGAAGAACGCGGCGGCGATCGACAGATCGTCGGCAGGGTCGACGACGACGACGATCGCGGTTCAACGCACGCTCCGCGCGTCATCGCTTCTCTCTCGCTCTCTCGCGCAAAAATCTCGCACGATCGGGGTCAATCCATTCTGCGCTGCCGTTTCGAATCGCGCGACTCTCGAGAGCCGTCCCAATTTCGATCTGACGTTCCTCTCATGAATGGCCCCGGCGGCGCGTTCGTTCGTCGGTGCATCCGCGTCCGCGCCACGCGATCCACTCGCGTTTCTCTCCTTTTTCTCCTTCAGCGAGCGAGCGTGAGGACGTGCCGTGAGGAGAGGATTACGCTCTTTCGGAAGCCGATCGTGCGCCCACTTCCTCGCGCTTCCTCCTTTCGGGCAAGACGTGATTACAACACGGAAACTCTTTCCAGCGCCGAAATTCTCTCCGGTGCCGATTTTTTTATTCGCTTCGTTATCGCCGCTTCCCCTCTTCCGGGTATAATTTTCGATAGCGCATCGTTGCGAAACGTTTCGTTTCGCGCCGGCCAAATGTAGACGAGTCACGAAATGGGGCGCGGTCCGGCTCCTTTTTTTTCCACTCTCGTTTGGACGATTATATTCAGGGCACCGCTCTCGCTGCGAAGTAAAAACTCGAGCGTGGCGTGGAATTGACGTGGGAATCGTGGATTAGCCTCATCCGCTTCGCATCGCCCTTTCTCACAGAGAGGACCGAAATTTTCAAATATGTTTCGCCAACAAATATTCGACATGCTCGACGCCAACGGATATAGTCCACTATTTTAATTACGATCAACTTCAATCGCAGACACGTAAAGGAAAAATACCATATTTTAATTAACGTCGGCCCGAACGCGAAGCGTGCAACACGCGTCTTTTGTGTTTCGCAATAAAAATGCACAGAAAGGACTTTAACGAAACGTCATTATATTCCTTTATGAGCCAATTGTGGTCCGTCGTTTATATGTGGTCGCACGTGCGGTTCTTCTGCATTGAATAAAAGTTTTATATTTATATTGTCACGAAATAACGCGTGTCTCGC